GGAGTGGACATAATCATAAAGAACCTACCATGGGCGTCTGTAAGTTCTAGATTCATTCTTCTTTATTCTGAAGTATATGTAAGCTGAATTTCAAGGAAAGGCCTGTAGACACTTTGTTGTTATTTACTTGAGTAAAAGTGTTTGCATAATGTCATTTAACCTTTATCATTTAAACCAACATGTATGGCAGTAATAACTCAGGTGTAAATAAAGAAATAAACATATGGAATATTAATATTTACCCTAAAATACTTTATGAACAATTTGCAAAGTTCTGTGCTTAGATTATACAGAGGGTGTTCACCCATTTTAGTAGCGATTTTGCAAAATTTTTTATGTAAACAAACCTTAGAATTTTATATTTTAATATATACAGACTGACAGCCCTCTTGTTGAGCTATAATATTACAGCTTGATTTCCAAGATAAAAGTCCTTTATTTAAAACATCAAGGTTGATTTTATTCCGCTCCTCTTTCATAATCTCCCAGAGTCCATACAATGTTTTGGGATGCCGCTTATAAAGATCTTCTTTTAAAAGTCTGAATACACATTAATCCATAGGAGACACATCAGGAGACTTGGGTGGGATGCATTTAAAGGGAATAGCTTCAATTCCGGTTTCATTTCTTATTTTTTCAAAAAAAAAAAAAAAAAAAAAAAACAGAGCAGTAGATTTACAGATTTTACAGATATGGCTTGGAGCCTTATCCTGATGGATCTTAATAACACAGTGAAGATTGTTTGGATAAACAGATGGAATTGTTTCTTTAAAAATAGGTGTTAAAATTATTTCTGATAGTAATCCGAATTAAGTTTAACATTTTTTTATACTCTCCCTATTTTAAGTTTTCCGTTATAAAAAATATAGCAATAATCATAAAATCTTTAAAAAAATTCGCCTTGTTTTCTCTGATCCAACACATTAAGTCTTTTTCTCCTCTTTTCAGTAATAAATCGATCTTTTTCTATTTCAGTTAGATAAATATATCCAAGCCTGTATTTCCATTTTTCACCTGTCAAATAATTTTCATACAGCAATCTGCACATAGTCTTACGCCTAGGACATGCTTCGGCGTTAGGCGATGAACATCATGTTTCTTTGTTTCGATTATCTTTAAATCAGATTTTATAATTTTGTTCACAGTTCCTACAGGTATATTTAAAAATTTTGCAATAGGTCTTTGGGGGGGGGCCTGGATTTTCTTTTAAAACATGAGATGCGACTTCAGATTTACTAAGAGCTGTACGTGCCTTTGTTAAGTATGCCTTTTTTGCCTATGCCTTTTTCTCAGACAGATTTAAACTTTGACATTTCTTTCATTTCATATTAACTATGTCCCTTATTTTACATGTAGAAATGTTAAAACTATGCCTTTCACATCTTGGTTTTAATAATAAGAGTATTTCTCTTCGGACAGCGCAAAAAAATACCCTTCGATGCATTCTTTATTTTTCAGCAACATTTTAAAGAAAAAATATTTTTAATGGTACAGATGATAATCAAACCTTATTCCAATTTGATTCAAGTCGCGTTTGTATTTTAAATTACTATTTAAATTCACGGAAAAAATAAAAATCGTTACAAAAATGTGTGAACACCCTTTGTAAAGCGTACACTTTTAGATTATAAATTTAACGTTCTTTAATCAATATTTCATTAAAAAACCTTATACTGGCAACATTGGAAGCATTATTAAAATTAAAACAGATCATCACCTATAAGAATAGTAACTATTCAAAAGTAAAAATATTAAACACTTTATTTTCAATGAATTTCACAATTTATTGAACAACTAATGTGTTGATTAAATATGCTGAATATTTAATTCTGAAAAAGGAAAATTATATGTTTTCAGAATGAAATGGTCTAGGTGACTTAACTCAGCAACACAATGTTCATTATGTTAAATTAAAAAAAAAATTCTTCGAAGCTATCGATAATAAGTACGGAATTGTAAGTCTTACTAATAAAATATGGCTTATAATGTAGATATTTAATAATTATTAAATATCTATATAAATAATGTTTTTAAAGTTGCGAATGAATTTAAAGATGAAACAACCGAAATGTCAATCATTTTGGAAGGCATTTCTTTATTATGGCTTTTGTTTAGTCCAAGTGTATACAGAGAGCTTGTTTTCAGAATAACAATAATCCTTTTGTTGTGCTCTGAGAATTCTGATAGCGTAAACAACTGAATAAAAATCATTGATTCTATATCACATTCATAATGTAATTTTTTTCTTGCTTGAATAAACAGCTATTTACAGATTTGTTCACACTGATTACTCATGACTTCGCCACTGTTGACATCGAGCTTATCAACTGTTTATGCAGTCAGCTTGAGTTTTATAAAGAAATCGCGAAGTGTAAAAATACTGTGTACAAAGGTTGGATAAAAAGAAATGACAATAGGCTGATAGTTCTCGAAAGACTTAATGATCATAAATATAAACACTCAAAATCCCTCAGTGTAATCGTTTTCCACGTCTACCACCTTCTGCGAAATTAATGGAAGGCATCACACACCATCAACACCCCCATTTCTTTTGATTCTCAATAAGGACCGCCCCAGAGCACGTATAACTTTCTCTTACTGTCCTATTGGACTCCTGATAGAGGTCCTTTCTGTTTGGCGAAGAATTCATGGACATACAGTCTCATATGAGACCATATTGACATGAGTTTAACTAACATCACCTGGCAGAAGGGTTAGTTACGCTGGTGTTAGGTATCTCCTATCACCTCGTGGGATACGTGACAGCGCTCCCATTATGACACTACACATTGCCGTGGAGGATTATGGAGCAAACTGTCGATCTTTAGTCCATAAGAAAGATTATTTATAGGTTAAAAGAGTTACTGTACTGTCGTTCTCTTGCTGCTCGATACCCTTTGTCAAAACAGAAATGGTGTTAGAGGGACAGGTGTCACACATTTTTCCTTGAAATCCAGAGGAATCCAAAATTGGTCATTATTGTTTTTTAACTGATTGTACCTCTTCCATCAACTATATGTGATTATACTGTCTCTATTTAAATCTTCCTTAAACATAATAGTAATTGTCCCCTGTTTGAGTTTTTAGAATAGAATACGTATGGGTCACTTACTTTTAAAGTTAGTTTTAATTTGTCTTTTAAAAATGAGATATAGTTTCGTATACGTACAAAAATTGTACTAAAAGTGTTTAATCCAAGTATTGGAGCTTTTGTTCTCCTGTGTTCTGGAAATCTGTTTAAAATTTATTTCGTAACATTTTGTCAAGGCGATATTTTTTACATGATTTCTTCTTAACTATGAATTTTGAGTAGAAAAATAAATTTCTAGGATCTTTGATCCACAGAATGACAGGAACGGTTTAGTAATCCTTCAATTCGCAAAATTTTCCCTTTAAAATCTTTCACCTCTCTTTCAGCTGCTCATAAAGAAAAAAAAAAAAAAAATTCATTTCTCTCTAGCTTAATGCAAACTTTATTCTAAGGTTACAAGTCTTACATAAAACAAAGCATAAGATATACCTCTTTTCACCCCTATTCTACAAAAAATCGTGATTATTAAATTCAAATAGACTCCGATAATTTACGCTATTGGAAGGAGTTATGACCATGACCAGAATGACGAAAGCACGCATTCTTTTTCTTTTAAATTCAAAACCAAATGTTAACTTCGAAGCGTGAGTTCGGATGCTTCTCATTGTATGATTTATTTTTGACACCGGGAGCGTTTTTCTTGCACCTTCGAAACGCAGACGATTTGTCTACAGGTTGTATGGACAATGGCAAGGCCATAAATTTATTAACTTCTTATCCCACCTACTAACAAACGCTGTTGTCTAGAGATAGTAAAAGGTTTTATAATTCTCTATACCATTTTAAAGATGGTAGCACATTTCGCACTTGTAATTGTTTGACACAAGACAACTGACCATCTTTTGAGTTGTGCTGCGTGTTAATGTTGCCAAAAATGCATTATTTAATTCTGAAGCACAAACTGTTTCTGAAATAATCAAGCAACTGGTACGCAGAGCTTCTTTGTTTTAAAATCATTCTTTTTGCCAGAAATATATTCTAGAAATGTTAATATCATTTGAGGAATAATTGATTATTAATTATTTAATATTAATTAAATATGAGGTATATGAAGGAAACATTTTTCAAAGATGCAAATTGTTGTATATTATCTACTGAATAATTATGATATTTATATTTTTGCAAGTCATTTATGTTAAAGAAGACGAAGGCTAATATCATTATTTTGAATTTAAGAGCTCTAAAATATAAAAGAAAATAAAAATTTTTATTGTTCTAGCGTCGCTGTTTCAAGTCACCAAAATTATTTTTGTTTACTCAGTTATTTTAAAATTAAGAGGTAGAACTTTATAAATTTTGCAAGGTTTAAGATTTATTCTGCTTTACATGTTATTGTAATTTACGTGGATTCAAAAATATGGAAAGTACTGGAATAATCTTTTCTTACAAGTGATTTAAAGAGCTCTTTTATGTACTTTACTTTAAATTATGAAATCAGATTATAACCTAACTTTCAATTTTCATTACAGAATCCATGATATTCCATGATATTTGTAACAAACTACGAATTACAAATACTGACCAATATGTAAATGGTTTGAAAAAGACGAACAATAATATACTATTATGAACGCTGCGTTATGCTAAATAAAATAAAAATAGAAATTCAGAATAGTTTTGCGCAAGGAATGAAAAAGAATCATTAAAAAAAAAAAAAAAAAAAAAACCTACCCCAAAATTAATTTTTTTAATCGCAACAAAAATATACGGGAAAGAATGTGAAATATCAATACTGGTATTACGCCATTGCGTTAAATTGCTAGGTTTTTGGATATAGATGAGCGATTTGCACTTCTATGATAAATTCTACCAATGTCAAACAATTGAAGTTTTCATAGTCAAGGTTAGAGTCAAACCTTTATCTTGACACGCAAAGTTTGGGAGACAGTCCTTCCTCCGTACTCTTTTACTCAATCTGTCACAAGCAAAGAAGCAGAACAGTTCTGACGACAGCTGCGAGTACCCACACGTGCAGAAGCGTTCTCTTCTTATGTATCGAAAGAGAGTTTTCTTTATAATTATAAACCTTTTACTATGCAAGTTTTTCCTATGCGGATTTAGAAACTGACTGAGAAAGAATTCAAATCGGTACCTAAACCCAGGTAAGACAAAAGTTAACATTTTATTTGCATGTTAATTAATCTAGTTAAGTATAGCAGGATTTCGACCACTGGTATATTGATAATTCGAAATAGTTGATAAATATAACAAACTAATAGATTTCCGCAGGTGAAATTTATTAAAAGTAAATGTTTTTTTTTTTTTTTTTTTTTTTTTTTTTCAGTCCAAAGGGTCAATTTACCCAGGAGGACTATTAATTTCGTTTTGGCATTTTGCTTTGATTCACTATAAGCTTTGTTTCACTTTTCAAATTATTGCCACCAAATATTATCGCTCTGTATTACATTTAAAGAAATTAAATAAATGTACGAATAATGTAATAAATGCAAATAAATGCATAAATGTATGCAAGTGTCTCGCATTGTGATAAAACAAACCATCCAATTTTAACCAAAGCCATCCAATTTTGAATAACGTAATCCTTTCCAAATATAGGCTCATGGAAGCCCAAATTTGGAATATGGAATATTTTTTATTATCAATTTCATATTTTGTAAAACTTTTTGATTAACAATCTCAAGGATTTCAAAGCGAGCAATGGCAACGTTGTACAGAAAAAACATTTTTATTTTCAGCTTGCGAGACTGTGTATCGGAAATTCTAAAGTTTTACTCATTTAAAAAAATATTTTGCGATATTGCTGTTAAATTGAATTTAATGGTTTAAGTGCAAAGAACATGATAGTTAATAAATAAAGGTAACGCACAAAATATTAAAAAATGCGTCTTTGGTCGTATTGTAAAATTTGAAAGCTTTCAGATTTTTTTTAAAAATCTTTTTAAGGTTTTTCTTCTTTTTTTTTTACGCGCAGAAAGTCGGATTTCTTTAATTAGAAATGTTCAGTTTGTCAAAAGTTTTTTTACCTAAGACGCTGAACTTAGTTTCGTTGCATTTTTTTCGTAATAAGCCGAAATCAGTTGCTATTCACCAAACTATGGGAGTCATACTCCAAACATCTTTGCAGAGTCTTAATTTATGAAGGATTTTGCCCTGATTTTGTTAGGTGGGTGGTGAAACTATGACAAAATAATCATCACAGCAAGCAACTGCGTTGTTGTTATTGAGAGTATTTAAAAGATGCATTTTAGAGAAAATTGCAACTTGTTCTAGAAATTTTGTGAAAATACCTATATTAGAACAAAAGTGTCTTATACATTTTCATTCCTAGTTTTAAAATATTTGTATATTTTATTCTAGAAATCAAAAGGTTTAAAGGCAATCTTAAATCCATAACAAAATTCCTGCTTTTGTAAAAGAATTACTCATCATATTTAATGTCATTTCATTCTAAGAATGTCATCCAAAATTCGTCTCTTCAAAAACGTTATGGTGAACTATGGTGATGTTTCGGTTTCATTTTCCAATGATTCGATGTTTTTTTTTAACACTTCATTTAAATGTTTAACTTGTTCTCGTACCAAAAGATTATTTCTCACTTTAACAGTTTGGGAAAAACAGAAAGCTTTCGAATTTGGGAAAACAAAATTTGCCAGTTGAAGTTTTCTACGAATTTTCTCGGGAATAAGAACCAAAACATAGAGGAACAAAAAAACTCTCTAAAATAGGAGTTCGAGATTGTTTTCTTGTAAATTTTCAGGTTTATCGTGACAAGATTCGTTGTTAAAGTGCTGCTTGAAAACTTCGTGACACAGTCACAGTATCTGGGTCACTTTATACATTGCGTGACAACAGCACACGTTTCCTTAGTGTTTTTTTTAAATTTTTTATTTGTTAAACTTATTTATTTATCAGCCCAAAGAGACGGTAGCCCAGAAGGCCTATTAATCTCAAAATTTTGTGTCCAATCACTATAAACGGCTGTATCATTTTCTAAATTATTGCCACCAAATATTATCACCCTGCATTATATTTAAAAGAAATTAAATAATGAAGAATCTGTATGAATATATGTCTGTTTCTTGCACTGTGAAAAAACAACGGTACCTAGAGATTGGATACTAAATTGGATAACTTTGTCCTCCATCCGAATATGGACAACCTGGAAGCTCGGAACTTGAATTTCGAATTTTTTTTATTATCTATTTCATAATTTTTTAACTTTAACGAATTTTTGATTAAGAAACTTAACGATTTCAAAGCGAGCAGTGGCAACACACTGTGCGGAATAAAAGGTTTTTATCTCCAGCGCATGAGACTGTCTATCAGAAATTCTACAGACATGCTGTGTTTAAATATTTTTAGCCTAAAGGGGCGTTATCACAAATGCTCTTGAAACGTGTGTGTATGTGTAAATGAAAAAACAAATGCCCCTTTAGACATGTAAATGATAATGAAAGTGCTATGATATCTATATGTTATGGTATGTATTAAATATATGTATATGTGTGGCCAATTGTAGTGTACGCTGGGGAACAAAAAACCAGTGTTCCAATAAACAGTTGTGGCTACCAGGCGATATCCGATTTGTAATAAAAAGCCATCCAGGTGTCCGATCCTGCATTCACCTATTCACCTGGTATTCGTGTCTAAAGTGAAACATCGCATTTGAATTTTATAACAAATAAAAACATTTTAATCAGTCATTAAAACTGGTTTACATTAATTGCAGAAATATGCTAAAAAGTAATACAAATTTCCTTGGAAAATGAATTAGATGCATAATATACATATTTAATTATGTAATTTTGTTGAGTTTTGGAGCTGTCTCATAATAAATGTTTCCTTAAAATAAAGTAGATTTTTTTCGCTTTCGTCGTCACTTGAATTTTGTCTTTTCTGGCACTATTCATAATTTATCAATTTAGGAACATTCCTTACGTCACCGATAATTGTTTTCCATACATTTAATTTCTTGCTTTAAACTCTATCTTTTTGTTACGTGGGTAACCATGAAATTATTGAGAGAGGAGCAGATAATATGCGCTAAAAACAATTATTTATTAGTTATGTAAATTTAAATTCTTTTGTGTCCTCATGCGATAATTTATGGCAATAACTACAATTTATCTATCTCAGAATACCATTTGAAAGAAAGGATAATGGATCTGACGCGAAAGCATTATTATGCCATAACTTTTGTATGATTTTAAGATGGGGTTAAATCAAGAAGAATGCCTTCACACATGTGTGCAGCATGGAAATGAAGTTTCATCTCGTGACACTATATTCAGATGGTTTATGGAATTTCGTAGATGTCGAAATTCTCTCCTGGATGAAGAACACACACGAAATCCTTTGGCAACTATAGTTCGAGAAAATGTGTTGGTCATAGGAAAAATATTGACCAATGATAATGATGTACCTACTAAAATGATCCGGAAGAAATTTAACATTGGATTTGCAATTAAACATAAAATTATTCAGAAAAAACTTTTGTCGTTAGGTTCCCTATAAATTAACAGAACATCAAAACCGAAGAGTATGGGAATCAGTAAAGAAGTCTTAAAATAGTATAGTGATGCTGGGAATCACATTAGATAACTGGTTATGAAACGTGCATACTTGTTTTGGCGTTCCAACACAACAAGAAAGTAAAGTATGAGTCTTTGAAGATGATCTCTAACCAATGGTGAGAAGACAATGAGAAAAGTAATGTATGCCCTTTTCTTCAGAGGTACAGGACTGGTGAAGTCATCAAGTTAGAGAGATAGAAAATAATTACAACTAAATGATAATTACAACTTGAAAAATTCCAGAAATTTTTCAAGAAGGGAATATTAGGAGGCTTATGATTCCCCATAATAATGAATTTTCTTATTCAGCAAGACTGACAGTCAAATTTCTTGATCAAAAATGCATCGAAGTGATAGAATATCTCCGATATTCTATAGATATCTCCTAAGTGATAGAATATCTCCTAAGTGATAGAATATCTGTTCTCCTGATCTTGCTATCAGTGAACTTTCGTTATTTTTTAATCGAAAAAAATTACGTGGCCATCATTTTTTATTCCGAAGATAAGAGTGATGAAGCTGTAAAAGCACATTCCAAGGAATTGATAGTTTAAAGGATTTAATCTTTGAAAAATTCTCCTACAAAGTTCATTGATATTGGAGGAAACTACTTTAAACACATCTATGATTTCGTAAGTTTAACTTGCAGCATTTATCTGTATTTCAAAAGTACAGTTAAAATTTCAAAAATACAGCTGTATTTCAAAAACAGCTAAATGCCTTAAGTTAAACTTAGTGACCCTAGCATTTAAGAGCATTGCAATGGCGAAATTCTAGTACTTATGCAGAATGACCCTAGTACTGCAAAGATAATTAGGAAAAAATGGTGAAATACTAGCAGATGGAGCTTAGTTGCATTGCAGCTTAGTTTAACCAACTCATTCCAATGCGTTTTAGAAGTTAGAGAATTTAGAATTTTCAGAATTTTTTACTCTTTTTTAATTATATTACCATATTTGCTGGCGTATAAGACGTACTATTTTATTTTGAAAATAGGTCTGAAAAACGGAATGCGTCTTATACTTCGATACTCAGTTTTTGATTACATTCTTTTCTGAAAATTTCCTCAGCTCAGAGTTATGCGACGTTTTTTCTTGTTTCTTTGTGGAGTGTGGGAATATTACAGATACGTAGAGTTCAGTGAATGCGCATGCGCTGTTACTGACGATCTCATCTGAGTTCGTTTAAATTTTCCAATTTTTGTGAACGACTTTAAAGTGTGTGACTTTCTACTGTTCAATTGTCCTAACTTTGTTGGAAAGTTATGGCTCGAAAACAACGTCGGCATTGCTATAATATAGCATACAAGCTACGTGGGATTGTCTATGCTAAAGAACATAGAAACGGGGCTGCAGAGAGGCATTTCTGTCCCCCCAACTGAGAAAATGATAAGAATGTGGCAGAATCAGAAAGAGGATCTAAACAAGACAGCTCACAGTAAACATAACCTACGAATGGGGAACTGCACAACGGCCTGAACTTGAGGCAGAGCTGAATACTTGGATAGCTGAATACTTCTCTATAAAAATGATTACTCTTCAAGCGAACGTGACAGCAACTGGTAGAGAGATTGCCAATTTTACTGAATCAGCATCATGGTTTTCAAGATTCAGAGAAACCAGCTATATATGCGGACTAAAACAAATACTGGATGTTGCAGAGGACAATTTGTTGTATGAGGACTCAGATGCTGATTTAAAAGAGGTTTGACTCTTCATTTAGCTCTGGCAATTTTCGTCTGGGTTTCGACGAAGAAGATTAAAAAGGTGTTCTTTTCCAGGTAGATCGGATATTTGCAGAAAGTATTAATTTTTACTTGTATTACTTTATATTTAAAATCCTGTAAATTCATTATAATGATCAGTAATAAAGTTTTATTCTTCAAAAATGTGTGTATAAAAAAGGGGGTGCGTCTTATAGACCGGTGCGTCTTATACGCCGGCAAATACGGTATATTCAAACACATTTTCAGTAAGAGATTTTTACAAATTCTTTGATTTTAAATTTCTAATATTTATGAAAGGAACGTTTCCAATTTGCTGATATAATTAACTTATCAGAAAATCTAGAATTAATATTCTCAAATTTCATGCTAACTTCTGCAAAGTGAAGAGAGTGAACCTTTGGTTAAGAAAGTAAAGTATTTCCAAATGGAGAAAACTCTTTTAAACTTCTTTTTGTTGAAATTGCTCAGAAACTTCCATTTTATTGAATGATGTTTATTAGATAAATTATGTGACCAAAATACCTAAATAACGCTGCTGATATTCTTCATGAAATGTTTTATAAATTAATACACCCAGCTTCTGTGACAAGAAAATTTAGTGATTAAATTTTAAAATGCTCTTACTTTCCATTTCGATTTCGCTCATTTTGGTAAAGTCATATGCATAAAACGGAGCTCCAAAGAAAAAAAAAGTTAACATTCTGATTTTTAAATTGTAGCAGTGGCAAAATTTGAATCATATCAGCAACAGTTTCAGTACAGAATTTCATTAAAACAGCAGCTAATTACGCGCAAGAAACAGAAATTAATTTCTGTGTAAAAATTTAATAGTATACGTTAAGATATAGGAAGTTAAGATATATATGATATAGGACAGAAGATGTCATATTAATGATCAGAATGCTAATTACAGAAACATAAAGAAATCTTTCAAAATCCGAAAACCAGTGCAGGACAAAGTGCAGTGGATCCCAAAGTGCCTGTAAAGAAACACTAGATTTTAAATAAATGGCGGTTGTTAAGTCCTTTGTTAAAGAGAACCTAAACACTGAAACTGTGTTTTTTTAAACATTTAAACACACTGACATGTTACAAGTTACGATTATGACAAGCTAAACGATTAGAAAGCTGAGCAAACTTGAAATGACAGTCATTGTTATCTCAAAAATATCTCAAACTGTTTTCTAAGTCCTGTACTTGAATAATTAGCCCAGAAGGGCTATTAGCCTCGAAACGGTATTTTGCATCGCATCACGTTTCAAATTGTTGCTACCAAATGTTATCGCCCTATTTTATATTTAAAGAAATTAAATAATGAAGAATCAGCATGAATGTATGTATGCTTCTAGCATTGTGAAAATCAACAATACCTAGATACAACAAATACTGAATAATGTAGTCCTCCACTCGAATATAGGCACCTGGAAGGCCGAATTTTGAATTTCGAATTTTGTTTCATTATCTATTTCATACTTTTAATCTTTAACGAATTTTTAATTATTAAATTCGAATATTTCAAAGAGAGAAGAGGCAACACACTATGCGGAATGAAATACTTCTATCTCCAGCGCGCGTATCTGTCTGTCGGAAATTCTAAAGATATGCTATTTTAGCCCAAAGGGGCGTTAGCCTAAATGCTCTCGAACCGTGTGTGTATGTATGTGTAAATTTAAAAAAAAAAAAAAAACCGCCACTTTAGGAGTAGTATAAAATATAAAGATTTCAATTTTTTAAATCGCAAATCCCAGAAAATTTCCCTTTGAATACAACGTAAGTTTTTCACCAATTAGCTAGATGTTTGCAATGCTTTTAGGACTTAGTAAAAATTTATCTTTTTTTCCTAACTTGCATGAAACTGTTTTAAATTCAAGCTTCTTTCCCCTCTCTTCTCATATGAGAAGTTGTTCTATACTCGGACTATTGATGTAGATTCGAAATACCGTTATTAAACATGTGTTTATAATATATTGAGATGTTTTTTATTTCTTGCAGAAATCATGGAAGTTGGTTCAGACGATCCACTTGTTATAGTGGATCAGGAAGTTGGCGGTGGAGAAACTCGCTTACCAAATTCTCACAGTGCAGCCTTGGTGATGGCCTTCATATTTTTGTGTTTACTTGCATATGGAGCGTATAGACTTTACAAATGGAAGTGCACCAGTGAAGAGCCTTCTGTTACATTTAATGTAGGTAAAGATCCCTTCGCGGAATTGGGCGTAAAAGATCTGGAAAAATATGCCAAAGAAAGAGAAGAGTATCTTGCCATCTATGGACCAAAGAAAAATATTAATCAAGCCGGCGCTTCTGGAATTAAAACAGAACCCAGCCAACAGTGCAGTTAACATTAAGTAAACGAGTAATTAGCTCAAAAATATTTAACACAGCGTATATTTAGAATGTTGTCAACGTTCTTTAAGGACCATTATCATACATTTTGAATCTTATTCAGATTCTTAAGAAGGAACTTGTGATTTCTTGTAACATAGACATATAAAACTGCATTTTGTCTTTTGATTAATTTATGGCAGGAAAGAATGTGACAAAAGATGTTAAATGATCTTAAACATTTAAGTTATTATGTATATATATCTACGTGTGTGTGTGTGTATACATTGAAAATATTTTACAGAGGATTTCGTTGCTATAATTAAAGCCATAACAAAAGGATTCTAGCTTAACTTCTTAATATGGGTATTTATTGATATTGTTGTCGTTGTTTTTTAAGTGTTCGTATTCAGAAGCTCCAAGCATGCTGAGAAATATTAAAAGACGTTATGTGTCATCATACTCAAATAGTGAAAAGTTCAGCTTAAAAATTAAATAATAAAAATGAATGTTTTGAGAAAATAATTGCATCATAAAGTGTAAATAAAAATGCGCTTTTTCCTTTACCTTTTAGATTGAACGTGAAATATATATATAAAGCATTTTCATCAATTAATTTCTCAATTAAATTAATTAAATTTCACAGCCAAATTAAAAGAAAATAAAAATTATTTGCCAATAGAAGTTTTTTTTTTTCAAATATTCAATAAAGAATTTATTTGTATGCTCATTGAAATGTGAAGAAAGAAGTATAACTATAAATGAATAACAAACTTTAAACTAACACAAAGTCATTCGAACTTTTAAATTCATCTAGCTGATAATCAGCAGTTTATCTCGCTCGCTTCTAATTCCGTAGGTAATATATCCATTCATTGATGAAGAGTAATAACAGTTTGCTGTACAATTCTTCTTCTTTTTTTTTTTTTTCTTAACTTCCTTGTACGAAATAAAGGAAGCACTGTAATCACAAAAAATTTCCGGTATCATATTTCAACGAAAATGTCCATTTTGACCGCTATCGAATGCAATTTAACGATGTTTTTGCGTGACATATGTATGTAAGGACAAGACAAAGGACTTTTTTTCCAAAAATGAATTTAAAATGGACTCAGAAGAGATTTTTTTTCATGACATCCGAACGTGCATATGTATATATTTCGCATAACTCAAAACCGAGTAGCCTCAGGACATTGAAATTTTGTATATAGGACTACTATAACATGTGTTGTGCACCTCCGTTTTTGGTTCAAATTGGCCGCACCAAAAGTATATATATATATATATATATACCGACTTTGTTACGGTAGACTTCGTCTAGGTGAGCTCATTTTTTTTTTCATGCTTATATTTTGGTAAATTGTGCATTTTTTGCTTTAAAAGTGATTGAATTATGTTGTTTCTGTTAAGGTTTTATGTTTTTAGTTAATCTGCATGTAATAGTTGTAGAATTATCAACAATTATTTAAAATTTGTTTAAGTACAACTAACCTCTTTTATTCCTAATATAAATGAAGTCTTAGTTAGCAGAATATTAACTTCTTTAGAGTCACTCACATCAAATATGGCAACCAAAAATAAGGACGCAGGTTACTTTCAGTAGAACGTCACCCAGACGGTATAGTGATTAGGGATGCCGACTGCGATACTGAAGGGTGTCGGCTCGAATCCCGGAGAAGGCATGGATGTAAATTGTCTGTCCCTTCATGTACAGTAGTGCGACGAAGCAGTACCTTTGTGAGCATATGCGAAGTCTTGGTGATCCGTCCTATTTTGCCTGACCTGCCTGTCCCTTCATCAGAAGAAACGGTAGCTGCCTATTAAACGTTTCAATAATAAAATGACCGCCACTTCTGGCCTTAGCAGTGGCAAAATACTAAAAAAGGCTAGTGCCTGACATATTAAAAAAAAAACTTTTAGTAGAACAAATTGCAAAAATGTTATATTTAATGAGGCCGAGATTTATTATTTTGCAAATATTCGTAGATTTAAAATAATGTTTGATAGAAATCTGGGATTGTATTAAGTTAATTATTCGTTTTCCAAATAATAAGTTAAGTTCAATTTAATAATAATATACATAATGATATTATATCTATAGACATTTTTGAGACATTCTGGGGAACAACAAGGTTATTGCTGATTCTGGATTAATGAAGCAATGTATAAAATAGTATTACTGCGAATGAAGCTTTCTAGTGAATTGCATATTATGTATGATTTCTTATTTTTCCCTCGAGCTTCAATGTCAAGGTACAAAACTCAGTTCTGAAGCTTAGCACCAAAAAAGGTGCTAAGCTTTCCTGCCAGGAAAGCTTAGCACCAAGGGCGAAGCTTCAAATTTCAGGTGCAGGAGTCTACTCACTATCTTCCGAAATCCTCCGCAGTTCTATTTATTTACTACACATGACATAAATACTGCATTATTTTAAAATTCTGCTAGAGAATTCGTAGTGTATAATAAATGAAATGATGACTAATAGAATATTATTTATTCTAAATACATAATGCTAAATTAATGTTTACGTAAGGCTAAATTAATGTTTACGTAAGGCTAAATTAATGTTAAAGAACGTGCCGATGCGTGTTATACGTAAACCTTATTAAGCTTTACTTATGTAAGGCCTTACGTGCTTGAGTAATGCTTACATTAATTTAGCCTTGCGTGTTACAGGTAAGGCTAAATTAATGTTTAATTAAAAATAAATTCAAATTTATTTTAATCAATCCTAATTAAAATAAAACCTTACAGAGTGATTGCTTTTCTCTTTTCTCTTTATAACATATTGCGAAGATAGTTAAGATTGAAGACAGTTAAAGATAGTTAGTGAATTAAGGATTAATTATGAAATTCTTTTTAAATGGCAAGGAAAACTCTTAACCAAAACAGTTAAACTAACATATTACAATTTAAGCACTTTATAGGCATTTCTTATTTGTTTACATCAATAATCTTTAACTACGATTTAATGACTAAAGCCATTTATGAAGCGGTATTATATTTGGTATATTGACATCGATAATCTTTGCAATAGAAATAAAATAAGAAAACAGAACATAATAAATTAAATAAACAGGAATTGAAATTTGAATTTGAATTTAGAGCTGCTTCTAGAAAAGTGGATTACTTTGGATTTTACAAAATAATGCAATTTTGGGTATAAAATCAAATAAAAAATAAAGAGTTTTTCCCTATAGAAAATGTAATGTTAATTTTTGTATTTATAAGTTAGCATAAGTTGCTAATGTTTATTTTCAAATGTGCTTTATCTTATTGCTAACTTGAATTGCAATAAATTTCTTGGTAGCGTTTAGTTTTCATTGACTTCCTGTCCAGAACTTAATAAAATAATAGTAAAATTTTTAAAAGCAATTTATCAGGAAAACTGTTTCTCACAAAATTTCAAAACGTGTAAAAATGTACATAAATACTTTTACTGAAGATAATAATAAAAAACATGCTTTCAAGGGTTTTCAAGTTCCATAAACCTAAATTTTTTTTGGAATAATTTTGAATATTTTTGTTAAAATTTAGATTGTTAAAATTCGTTTCATAAAGGGAATGCTGAAAGATTTTTGAAAGAAAAAAAGAAGAAAAGAAAGAAACATGATTTTTTTCTTTATATGCTTTTCCTCCAGAATATCTTTGATAGATTTTTAAATCACTATTTCATTTACAGAACATCGTTATACTAAAGTTAAGTTTAATAATAATTAGTAGTTTCTTTTTTTCTGTTAAAGCACGGAAATTCAAAAGGATAAAATGCAGGAAATATTTTTTTTTATTGTGCATTGATGTATTAGTGGTTGTATTTAGTTAACTAAATGTTAAGTGTCCATTATGTAAATAAAATATGAAATTCTAGTTTTTTTGTGTTATTTTTTTATGCAGTAGAAATACCTACATCACCTTAAGACTGCAATAACCTTTCAAAATTATAGCAGATTGAGATTACAGCACGATCCAATCGAAAAACAAAACGCATCATGAAATTTTATCAAATACATACAGCTGCTGTGGCTATTCAAGCATTACACATGAACATGCTATAAAAACTGCTGTTTATTTTACAAACATCAATTTTATTGTATAATTAGAGGAGGGAAAAGGAAACAATAATTACAGAATAAACACATATTTCTGCTTTATAATTATTTTACTCATGTTTTAAAAGCAATGCTACATAATTTTCTGCAGGAAAAATTGATAGCCCCATCGATAATTTGAGTTAAAATAACACGCCGAACAATGAATATTGAAAGAGTTAAAGCAACAAGAATCAGCGTAATATTCATAAATTTGCAGGTTGGTTTGGTTTATTTAGATATGGCAAAGAACTCAAGGGTTATCTGCCTAAGAGAAAGGATGCCTTCGTGAAGGACTTTCTAAGGAAAACTGGCTCGTATACACGCTATACATGAGGAAAACCACGAAAATACTCATGGAGTCAACTCGAGCGCCGGGACGAACTACCAGTATTCAGCGACTTTACCGCTCAGCCACTGGGGGGGGGCGCAAATTTGCAAAAGTAGTTTCGATGGTTTAAATACAGAACCTTCTTTTTCAACTTTTGTACCTGAAGCTTCAGTAGCTGAAGAAAGTTCTATATTTAAGCTTCCGAAAATAGTCATGGAAATTTGTGCATATTACGCTGACTCTTGTTGCTTTAATTCCCCCAATAATCACCAATGATAAGTTAACTACACAATATATCAATATTAGGGAATATACTACAAATTGTATTATAAATTGTGCCATGTTTGGCAATATTGTTTAATGCATAATGAAATTCTGACTTCCAGGCTACTAGCATTGTAATTTACAAATCTCCATTTCTCATACAGTAAATAATTTAAAATAGTTGAGCAAAAAATAATAAGTTAGGAATATAGCGTAAGAAAACTAAGATTTGTTTAAGAAGAATATTACCACCCAGAACATAAATAAGGCCAAAACCATTAAAACGCTCAGTATCAATTATAAACAAAGTGATTATTAATGCTGATTCGAATCTTAAAAAGGCGAAAAAAAGTGTGCATCGCATCATCTTTCTCCACGATATACTACCACAGAACGCGCTGCAGAATTCTTTATGAACATTATTATATGAAGTGGTGATAGTGAAACACTTGATTCTGTTGATGATTATGTTTGTCTTACTAAGATTATGTTTATCTCATTTTACAAAAGCTAAGATTATGTTTCTCTTACTTTACGAAAGTTTGGATTCGGCAATAGAAATATGAGAGATAAAGATTATAACGTGACATTTTGAACATAAAGTTCAGCCTGCCTTTTAAACTACAGTGCATCTACCGAGAACGCTCGCACATTTTTTAGACGATTTTTCAAAGCAATTACAGGAATACATTACCTAAACTTTTTATGTCCTAAATGTTCCATTTGGTAACCCTTATTCATCACAATTTTTATACACCGTAATTTCCAAGACAGTCTTTTGTAGCATCGGAAGAGGTATTTTATCCCATTATTCTCGAATAGCTTTCCTAAGTCTAGAGGTTGTAGGTGGTCCCAAAACTTTTAAAAGTCCCAAAGCACAAAAATACATTGCAGATACTAGATCAGGAGATTTAGTAGCGATATGACTGAAGGTTTTTTGCCTTGATACCCGTTTCTCATTCCACTTTTTTTCTAGGAAATTAACAGTGGATTTTGACGTGTCGCTGCCTTGTCTTGCTGCAATACTACTGATTGATCCCACTGTGTATAAACACAAGGTACTTCATATTTGAATATTGGGTATAAAATATGCCTTTGATAATATTTAAAGTCGATCTTAATACTTTTCTTTACTCTCTTTATTTTTAATTTACCGTAATATGAAAAACCAGCAACAATCATAAATCCCTTTGGAAAACTTTCTTGAGATTCTTTGAACCATAAGATTTTTTATCTCATCTTTGATGATAATAATAGATCTCTTTTTATTTTAGTCATTTAAGTACACGCAAGATTGATATGTTATGATAACATTCTTCCATTTTTGTCCGGATAAATGTTTCTCATAAAGAATTCTGCAGCACGTTCTGCGTCTGGCGATATGTCGTAGACAAAAAAAAAAAAAAAAAAAAAAAATGCAGATTATGTTTTTCGCCTTTTTTAGGATTCAAATTAGCATTAATAACTTTGTTTACAGTTGACAGTGACCATGCTTTTGTTCTTCGACTTGGCGAAGTTTCGTTTAGCATTAAAAATCTTACCTTTACAAAATTCTAAACATTCCGTGTTTTCCTTGGATATGTATCTGGAACAATTTTTCCACTTGAAGCCAAACTTTGACACTTTTTTCCTTTCTTGGTGATAATATTACCTATTTTAGCTTTAGATATCGAAAAACCATGGCTTTTATAGTTTTTTGTAATTGCTAGATAGGAATAATTTTCTTCGGGAAAAGCCGAGACATAGCCTTCCGTCTATTGCTTCTTTAAAAGCGCCATTTTGCATGAAAACAAAACTGTCAAGTAGCAGACGATAATCTATACTTTGGGAAATATAGTTGCTGTTAAAAAAAAAATTCCAAGCAGAAGATTTTCTTTTTTTTTTTTTTTTTCTTTTTCTTTCTTCATTTTTTTTAACAGCAAAGCAAAGTAGTTTTAAAATATGCGAAAAGCTCTGTAGATTTCGTTTTATAGCCGTGTATTCATGAGGAAGATATACTATATTCGATCGAAATTCCTGTTCTTCATTTTCCTTTTTGTTTGCTTTATTTAGTGATTAAAGTTTCTCTAAAATATACATGCATTTGTAAAAGTATGTTTAATGCGATGGAATTTTTTTAAGAAGTTGTAACTAATTAATGGTTCTAAAATATATATATTTTTTATACTGCATACCTGATCGTAACACTGCATATTCCTTTTATTCAACTGAGAAGGGAATAAGAAATGCACAGAATTAAATTTGGTGCTTTCTAAAATTCAAAACTTTTTTATAAAACCGCAGTCACTGCCAATCAGTTTTCACTGACTTTGAGTCCAGAGAGAATTTCAGAGTGAATTAAATTGTTGCTATCAGTGTGAAATTGCAGTAATTTCAGTTAAAATTTCGAATTTTGGCATTCTTTCAGACATAATCTAATAGCAGTTTCTGGCTTTATAGATGCGTGTTCCGTCCATTTATGCCAGCAGTTATATCTACTACAGTCTGTGGGGATTTATCTATTTATTTTTGACTAATAGTTAATGTTGTGTTTAAGTTTTTAGCCGTTCTCATTTTCACTCAAGTTTTATGCCAGAATGTAAATGAGATAGCGAGCGTTTATCCAGATTGAGAGAGAAAGAAGTGCTATTTAAGCAAAGGTTTTCCAAGGTTATTTTAGAGCATGCTCTGCCTACTGAAGGCCACGTTGTTAACGTGACTATATAGCGATTTGATTCTGTTGCGTTGAATGCTTCTAGACGATAAGCTTGTCTTGCCGGTTTCTTACAGACCAGAGCCTTCCTAGGCGTTGTTTTATCCTGTGAGCCGATAGGCTAAACTAACTTCATTTTATTTTAGTTCAACGTTACTTGTTTAAGCTAAGCTATACGTGTTGGTTTGCGTAAACTATAGTGGGTTATTGTTACTTCTTTGTGATCAAATAAAAGGACTATTTACCTCCTTCTTCTGACTTTGTCTGTCTGCAGTTAAAACACAAGGATTATTCCCCTATAGTCTTTCTAGAGCTCATGAGTTTATGCTACTATAGAAAGTGAGACTCGAAGTTTCATTGCAGGTTGGAAACTGTTTTTAAACCTAAATAAAATTCACTTTTCCAATGCAATTACATTTTAACAACATCTTTTTTATCATTTGCTGATTTTATCGCATGAAACTAATTTTAAATCCCAATACATGATTTGCAGTTTTAAAAATAACACATTTTAAGTTTATTTTTACAGTTGCTTGCATTTCCTTACATCTTACTTTTGTATACTGAATATTTTGTTGATAATTTTCGTATCTTTGTAACATAAGAGAGTAAAGATTCAATAATATCTTTTAACTTAGATATTTAAATACTCATTTTTTTTCAAATGAATAAACGTAAAAAAATCTTGGGCGATTTTAAAAACTTAAATAGCTAAACAATTTAATTTAGAAATTTAAGAAGATCAGTTCATGTCATTTGAAGGATAAATGATGGTGATTATGATGACGATGACAACAAAAACAACAATAATGCATTTTTAAAGTTTGTTTATGAATGCCAAAAATACATGATTTAGAATGAATAAGAAAAGACAGCAACTGTATTTATAACATATATTTATTAAAACTATGTAATGGCTACATAAAAACTAAGACAAATTTAATGCGTACAATTCATAAATATAAATTTAATAAAATGTACCTTTATTATAAAATAAATTGATTACAATTTGAAATCCATATATAGTAGTCCAATATGAGAAAAAAGTCTTCTTTTGACGGTGACTTTTAGTTATGTGAAGAATAATTAAAAACAGTTGGGAAATTTGCATCCCCCTTGCGCCTGCGCAGTGCTGAAGAGGTGAAATGTCAGCACTATATAAGCCCTTGGAAAACCAAGAAATGTGTGAAGATTGTGCATCCTCCCGATGTACCTATCCGGAGAGTGTGTCGTCCTGCTATCGACGTGGACAGTAACTATTGTAAGGTTTCCCTTATTTTGCATAACAAGTTATTTTAAGTTTGATACCTTTCCTGAACTCCTCAACTTCCCCTCGCCTTTCTTCGCCAGGATGTAAATTAAGTGAGTATTTAAACGGGTGAATCCCTGAGTTTATTCAGAAAAATATGAATTCCTATTTTAATATAAGTGTTTTTCGTATTTTACCGCCAAAGCCAATGTAATGACTGCATCCACATCACGGAACACCCCA